TCTTTCACGCCTTTTTATTCTTAAACTATCATTAACCAGGAAAAATTATGTATGGGCAGCAAAAAGATACATTTAAGACTTAATATATACTTGAACAAAAGTGATAAGGGTACGAGGATAAAATAGTTATAAAATGTAAATTTTTGTATATTTTAAAAATAAAGTGAATAAAAAGTATGAAAAGATAATATCAAATGAATATAAAAAATTTATGTGTGTTAAAGTATCATTTTTCTTATAGATTATATGATTTGATAAGAATGGAGAGTTAGAAAAGAAAACAAGTATATAATAGGATAGACAAAATTAAGATATCTCATGTGAAAAAAAAATAGAAAAACAAACATAAAAAAAGAAGTTTACTTGATTTTTTGCGATAAAACGCAAAGTGCAGGTAAAAATAAAGCGTGAAAATATCATATTTAAGTTTTTAAAGAAGCTAAATTATTTGAACTAGTTTAAATTAGATTTCTTAAACTAAAATATGACATGAGTGTGCCATATTAAATTCTAACGTTAGTTTATATTACTATACATAAAAAAGTTATACTTAATTGCATGCATGCTTTCTATTTTTCTCTAAATAAGTCATCTAAAGGCATGTATATCAGAGTGTAGATACGTTAACATATGCTTTGACAAACTTAGTTTATAGAGGTTTTAAGAGACAAGAATAAGAAAATAAAACAGAATAACTTTTTTTTTCATAACATGTACATGCACAATTCACTTTATAGAATTTCTTTTATATAGTTTTTCTAAATTTTTATTTTCAAACGTATGCGTTTAATTTATAAATTATAGACAAACTTTTTTTTTTCTTTTAGAAATTTTTATAAAAAAATATCGTTCAATCAAACCCTAAGCCACATTTATTTTCTGGAAATTGAAAGTAATATAATCAACTATATTTATTTTAAACTAAATTTCAAACCAAAATATAGTGTATAATTAATGAAAAAGAAAGAAAGAAAATTTACTTTTTAAACTAAGATGCTGAAATTAGGGTTTAAACTTCGAACTATCTACAGTATACGAGTAATGCTATTTTTATTTTTAAATCTATACATAATTTTGGACTTGAAACATTGAATATTTGGTTTCATTCGACGGAATATTACATGAATTGTGTTTAAAGACTCAAAAATAAGTTTGGTGTGGTTGATGATGACACTTGATATCTACTATGGGGAATAAGCAGATATTACTACAGTTGGGTGATGATGGAAATGGAATAAATTGTTGAAAGGGCATGCAGCAGAAGAGTGATGGAAATGTACCATTTATTATTAAACATCCAAAATAACATTAGAAATCACTCAAATATGTTCATTTTTGGAGGTTATATCATTATTAAAAAATAATTTGTCTGTTAATTTTAAAACTAGAGAAAATTTATAAATCTGAAAGAAGAGTAGAATAGAATAATGTTATATATATATATATATGAAATGCCGCAGTTGGAAGTGGGTTCAAACTTCAAAATATATACTCTCCTAGTTGCAGGGTGGTAGTTTGCAGAGTCCATGGTTTCTCAGTCTCATGATATGCATAATTAACTCTTTTTCTGCTTTCTCTTTTTCTTATTATGCTGCAATTTGGTGGTCATATCATATCAGTATGAATGTGTGTCATGTCATGTACATAGATAGCTAACGCCATAAAATGGTCAGAGAAAGATAAAGCTGAAGCAAAGATAAAAGAGAGAGAGAAAGAGGTAAACTAGCCGTACATATTTTGCCAGTGACTTAAGACCACAACACTGCCCAACCAGGATAGGGATTCAGTGGTCCCTACAAACACAAACAGTACTTTACACGATCACGCGCCCCAAATAAACCGTGTACACACCAAACCTCTTCTTGGAGCCCTAGTTAGTAAAAATGACATTATATTAAATTAAACTAAAGAGAAAATAAAAAATTATATAATTTATTTAATATCATCACATATTAAATATATATATATATAATTTAAAAATTTAAATGATTAATATGGTTTGATTAAATGTAATAAATATTTAAAAACAAGTTATTGATTTCATGAAAAAGTTTATTCTATGGTATTCCCAATATATTATGGACTATATTTAATATTCGAACGCTGGTTTGAATATTTTTCATTTGCGATAATTTTTAACATATTTAATTTTAATCACAAACAATATATTTTTCATCAATTTTATGGATTCGAATAAAATTATTTCTTTAGTTAAATTTTTTTTCATCTTATTTTAATATTTATTGAAGAATTGTTTATATTTATTTTTTTATCTAATATACTAATAAATTTATTTTTAATTTTGATATATTTACTAAGGCCAATTTAGAACTAAAATGAACACGTTTAATCTATACATGTTACATGTCACAAGATTATCTTACATTAAGATGAACGGATTTAATATGATAATAATTTATGACATGAAAGTCATATTAAGACATACAGATTTAATTCAATATATGAAATAATTCTTGACACAAAAATCAATCTCACACTAAAATAAATGGATTTAATCTTATATATGTAATAACTCTTAGTGATCAATTACACACTGAAACAAAAGATTTAATGTGAGTGAACAAATTTAGTCCGATATATGTAATAACTTTTGGTACCAAGGTCAATCATGCACTCATATAAACAAATTTAATCTGATATATGTAATAACTTCTAGCTCCCTGCACTAAGACTAACAAATTTAAATCAATATATGTAACAATTCAACTCTGCACTGATGTAAAAGATTTAATCCAATATATGTAATATTTCTTGACACGAACCCTTACACTAAAACAAACATATTTAATTCAACATACGTAATATTTAATGGAACTAAGACCAACCTTGCACTAAGGCGAACAAATTTAATCTGATATATCCAAGATGTCTATATCTCGTCGTGAAGGAGTATATTGAAAGTTCCATATCGACTAGAAATAAAGTTAAATTATAATATATAAGTGAGGTACAAACTTCACCATACAAGCTAACTAGTTTTGTGAAGTTGAGTTAAACTTAAAACTATTTTCTAATATAATTTATAGCACGAAAATCAACTCTACACTAATGCAAACAGATTTAATTCAATATATGTAATATTTCCTTGTATGAAGGCTAGTTCCGTATTAAACATATTTAATCTAATATACATAATATTTCTTTACATGAAAACCAACTCTAGTATGATATATGTCATAATTCTAATATAAGATAAAGTAGAACTTAAGCTAAAAACTTAGTTTTTAATATAACTGGTCCTTTTTTATGTCTAAATTCTAAATACAAACGATATTTTTTTATTCTATGTTCAAACATAATGATTAAAAGTTTTGGAACCTTAATTACATATAATATGTTCATTTTTTTTTCTAACAAATTGTTATTATAATAGGTTTCAACCAATTAATTATCATGTATCACTATGCAAAGTAGTTTATGTTCATTCCTAAGCAAGAAATTCTAAATCACTTGTGGTACAGAGAAAAAATATAGCTTCTTATTGTGATGTTGATAAGAAATATTGTAAAAATATATAGTTATATTAGTGTTCGATAACGTATCCAACAAATATTATTGGAAAACACACACATATGTGAAAAAAAACAGTAAGAAAGGAAATAAGTAATTTGTACCAAAAATATTTCAAATTTAGGAAATCTTTATAATCACTTCTTCTTTTTTATATATATTTTTATCACTGGTATTTTTTTAATGTCATCCTTTTTCAGTGTTGTTCGAATAAACCAGTTGTGTAAAAAAATATCATCACTGAATACGATCATCAAATCAACTCTATCCGTTTTTTCATATATAGAATCTTTGGTAGTTACTTAATTATAAAAATATTTCTTTATAAACAATGTTGAAAATGAAAAGTAATAACGTTATAGTTTGGAATCTAATGTTTCAGATTTGTGGAAAGATCAAACTGGTTAGGTTACTTATATGCATACACCCAAACCTATTAGTTCATGTTTAATTCAGATTCTTTTTGTCAAACTATAATATTTTGGTGTTAAAATGTATAACATGTAATTCAATGTGAAAATTGAGAAAACACACAAATAAACCTAATCGATAAAGTGATAACCTAAAATTGTAATAGTTCTAAAATAAGTGAAAATTGAGGTGGTATCTCCATTGCTCAATGATAATGATAGTCCTAAATGAGAAAAAAATGTTCTATTTTAAATTATGTGTTAGTGTGTATCAAAACTTAATACAATAGATGCAGTCATATTGTTTACCTTAAGCTAAAACAATAAGTCATCATTGTCTCACTTATTCATAAAAAATCACAGGATTTAAGGTCAAAAAACATGACAATAGCTGCATGCATAGATTAAGTATTGTTCTTTGTTTTATGTATGGTCAGTTTCAGATAAGCTTATCTTCCATCATCACTATTATTAATTATTGTTGTTCTAAAGCCAATCATTTCAATTAGCAAATTAATGAAAGAATGTTTGGGAAGATGGACAAAATAAGATAACTATGATTAATTAGTCAGTGTCAGTCCATTAAGTTCTCTGCTCATGACATGTGTCAGTTTGGGAACAGCTCTTCAACCGAACACAGTTAGAGATCATTACATTTGTCCACTGATTAAACATAACTGACTAAACATGCACAGAGACATTAATAACTACAATTAATCTTAACATGATAACTAATTAGGAAAGTTTATCATCATCATCGTCGTCTGCTTATATAATTATAATAATGACTAAGTTGAGTGTATATATATAATATACATGAATACTTAAGCTAAATCTGGAGATCTGCGAGTGTAGGAGTTGAGACTGAGCTCCAAAGAAGCACGAGAACCATTCTTGAAGCCGTCTTCAGAATGATACCAGCCGTTTCCATCATAGTTGTAAGAATTATTAGACTTGAGGTTGCAATAGCCATGAATGTCCTCACCGTGCATAGGGAATAAAGGGAGAGTTTCAATCTCAGCAGCACCATCCTCTTCTTGTTCTTCTTCCAGGGTTTCTTCAGTTGGCCTTATTTTTCCAAAGAAGTTGGCGTAGGGTGAGGAATAAGGATCCACGCCAACCCATCCCAAGTTGTGGTTTATTCCAACATGGCCACTGCTACCCCCAGCAGATATTGAACAGTCCTGAAAAATTATAAGGGTTTAAAACAAATGAAGAATTAATCAACACTTACACTTGATTGAAATGGTTTAATAACTCTGTACAAAACATTTTTCTAAATCTGGTGAGCTACTGTTTAAACTTTGTATTCTATCTGTATTCACTCCTACGAGCTGGTGGCTTCAACATAAATGTAGTTTTATTTCATGAAAATTTTTTCACACATTGCTTTGTCGTTTTAGAAGAGTGAAGAGATCGGTGGGGTTGGCTCTTCCTTTTATGGAACTTTCAAGGAATGAACAGTGTAAAGGACTGATTGTCGCTACATTTTGTTGTTAAAGATCATCACTTACTTGTGCACTGCACATGGAGTGTGATGGATCATGGATATTAGTTTCCATTTTAATGCATCACAAAGCTAAATTTGCATTGATGAGCAACGGTAGGAGAGTAAAAAATTACAGAAAGTCTTTGAGGCTAATATGTAAAATCCAAAGTTAAGAGTCGTTTATAACTTACCCTAAAACTTTTCTCCATGGGCACAGAACCATAGCCATAATTCCCCATCTGTCCGACAGTAATGATCTCGACAGAAGAAGATGATGCAGAAGAGATTCCTGGATATATAAGCACAATAAAAGGTGAGAGACATAGTAAAAGAGTATATGGTTGAGAAATGAAGAGAGGGTTTACCCGTAGAAGAAATGTTAGAATAGTTGGTATGAATAGGAGGATCTTGATCAGGTTTCCAAGGAAGAGCATTAGATGGGGCAGGAGGTCTTTGCATGGGCACATTATCAGAAGTGAACCTTTTCTTCTGCCTTTCTCGAGCTTTGTGGTTCTGGAACCAATAAAAGACATTCTTGCCTTCAATCTTACCGTACTGCCTCAGCCTAGCAGAGATCCTCTGAATCTGTTCTGCACTTGGGGATCTAATTCCATTGTTGTAGTAAAGGTCCTTCAATATTCTAATCTGGTCGGTTGTGGGAGTCCACCGTGTACTACTTTGCCTGCTGAGAAAGCCCCCTTTTCCACTGGCACCCTCGTCGTTTGGTTGGCTCCCTTGTGGTTGTTGAGGTTCCATCATGGAGTGGAAACAAAGACAAGGCAACAAAAAAGAATGTTGTTTGTTGGATAGAGAGAATGAGAATGAGAATGAGAAAGAGAATGAGAGGGTAGGTAAGGTGAGGAGGGAGAGTGCATGAATTGAATTGGAGGAAATGAAGGTGATCGAGGCGATGATATGAACTTATTATAATAGGTGTCATTATAGATGAGGCACAGGCACATAGTACATGGAGTGATAAAGAGAGAAAATCACAAAAAATATCTGGGAGATAAGGACTGAGGTTGACAGAGTGGTGTTCATAAAAAGGGAAGGGACAAAAGAGAGCTTAGAAAGTGAGGGTACTATCAGGAATTACTTGGACGAAAAGGCATGACCAGGTATATGTGAAATAAAGTAGAAAAAGGTAGAAAAATATATGAAATGATATATTGGATGAAAGGAAAGCAAAAAAGTAGATGTTCTGAATGAAAGAATGAATGAATGGCAATGGAATGGAATGGAATGATGCGGGTTGTCATTTGGGAGTTCAATAGGTTCTTCTTTTCATGGAGCCGAGAGATATCACATATGGCCCCTACACACATGTGTATATACATGTACAAAACCCTACTCTATATGCTACCAAGATATACTGTACTACTTATATATCAACAAGCATCTACATCTTATGTTCATCTTTGTGGACGTTGAGGAAGGGCAAAAATGTATTTCTTAACTTCTCATCATTCCCAACCAATGCATCAACAAGCATGTACATGTTATGTTATGTTCATACATCCAATTTTCTTGTTTTTCCTTTTTGCTTTTTTATAATTTGAAGTTGTACTTGTGAAGTAGATGATGCGTGTGCAACCAAGACTACACCCTATGTGACAAAGATTTTGAAAATATACAGTGTTGAGAGAAAAGGGATATCCTAAAAGCTCATTTCTAATTCTTTCTTCGCATGCCTGAACTTTCAACACAACAGCAGTCACCAAAAACAGAAAAATAAAGTAAACACTTCTTCTCAAACTCTGTTTTGGTTATATGTACCTTTCAACTTATTAATCCTCAACCACACAAAATTCATTTTCTTCTGTCAACTCTTTCACATTTTTCTATTTTCAATTATTTTCACAATCGTATCCTTATTTATTGATAACTATCATCCTCCACCGTAACATTGCAGATTTCTAAACTACTACCACTCTGTAATAAATTAATAAATAAAATAAATTATCCATGTCCATAATTTTATGTACTGATCAACTGGGTCATGTCATGGCATGTGGGTGCGTACATAGGCTTCTCTTGGGACATTATAGTTTTATACATATTTAACTCGAAAATTAAAAAAAAAATAGTAATAAAAAAGACATGTATGTAGTGGGGAAATGAAAAGAGAAGAAGTGGGCAGTGCTTTTTGGGTTCCCTCTCGTGCATATAAGTCTACAGTAAAATAGTACCATTGTACAAGTTTTACATAAAAACGAACCAATCAGGGAAACTAGTGTGGATGGAACTATTCAATCTTTCCTTTCTGAACTCATTCTGTTGTAACAGTCTGGTTCATTTGATGTTTGATACAAAACAAAAACATTGGAAACAATATACTACTGATTTGAACGTTATTCAATCCTTGGTGTACGTGTCTCAATGTTTCAACTTTTTCAGATTGCATAATTTGCTTGATTTTGACACCGCCATCATGAGATTTGGCTTTCCTTATCATGCATTTACATGGCAATCTCTCTCACGCACACACAGATTATTGTTCATTTTATTTTTAAAAGCTCACATTCTTCTTCTCTTTGATTTAGCAGCAACACTTCATTTTTCAACCCAATCTCTCTCCTCCAAAATCCTCCTCAAGTGCTTACCTCATAAGCTAGAGAGACCTCACAGCCGCAGTGGTACACTCCCTAGTCTTACGGGTAATCATCTTCTTTGCACTAATTTTCTTCCCGTATCTCCAAACATACATCACAAAGATCATTCCATATCTCTCTCTCTCTCTCTCTCTCCTTAGCCTTCTACGTCTACTGCTCTCATTTTCTTTTCCTTTTTCTTCTTTCCATCTTATACAACCATATAGAGTAAACTCCTACCCTTTTGTCCTCAACTTTTCATTTTCTTTGTATTCTCTATCATCTACATTCAAATCCCCACGTAATATTTTCTCAAGCTTCTAAAGTAAATAGTTGCTTTCATCAGTTAAACATATATAAATGCTAGTTTTTGTGTGATATGATTTTGATTCTGCAAACAAACAAAGCACATCAGAAACGGGAACAACCTAGTCCAACCTTCAACCTCTTTGACACACATCAAAACGGGAACAAAAAACCCCACTTTTGTTCGGTCTATCATTCAATTCAACAATTTTCTCAACTCTTCTAAAAGTTCTGCATAAACTAAAAATAAAACAAATTCACAAATGTAATATATGAAATATACCGATCCGAGTTAATGGTCATTTATAAATAATTATCAAGTATTAATAGGTCAGATTATCTTACGCTTTACTACAGTATTAATTATTGATTATATCAGGTATAATCATCCTTTTCTATCCTAATAAAATATAGACTCCTTTATGAAACATATCTGACTTGAGCGTTTGAGTGTCTTCTGCAGGTCAAATACCCATTGGAGTGGATCGTGTTCTCGAAAAGGATTGAAGATCAAAAGAGAGGAATGACGACCCACCCTTAGACCAATTCAACGAAACATTTTGGCGCCCACCGTGGGGCCGAGCGGCATCCCCATGAAGTCACGAAGAACCAAACGCGCGCTCGGTCTCGACATTGCTACTTCGGATCAACATCAGGTTTTGCAAGAGTAAAAAATTCCGTAATAATTTCTAAAGGCATGTCTTTTGTTTTGAGAATTTTCACGAAAGTTCGGTCCTGCGTTCAACCTTGTCAGGTTCTACCGACTCTTAGTTTTAAAATTATAAATTATAAAATATTATGTACAGTAAGGTTCAGACCTCAACTTGGTCAGGTTCTACCAACTCTTAATTTTAAATTATAAAATATTATGCACAGGATGGTTCAAAGTTACTTTGTCAGGTTCGACCCTACTCTTAATTTTAAATTATAAAATATTATGCAGAGGATGGTTCAGAGTTGCTTTCAACCTAAATATTATGTGCAGGAATACCTCCACTGGGTCAGGTTCTACCAACTCTTAATTTTAAATTATAAATTATAAAATATCATGTGCAGAAAGGTTCAGACCTACCTTCAACTGTGTCAGGTTATAATGGCCGCTCGAGGGGAAGTCAGAAAAAAGACTGCAGAATTCCCCGCTCAACGCAGGATGTCAAAAAAATGACTCCTGCCTCAAGCCGCTCGGGGGAAGTCAGAAAAATGACTCCGCTCAACGCAGGAAGCTAGAAAAATGACTCATGCCTCAAGACCGCTCGGGGGAAGTCAGAAAAATGACTTCAGAAATCCCCGCTCAACCTAGGAAGTCAGAAAAATGACTCCTGCCTCAAGACCGCTCGGGGGAAGTCAGAAAAATGACTTCAGAAATACTCACTCAACGCAGTAAGTCAGAAAAATGACTCATGCCTCAAGACCGCTCGGGGGTAGTTAGAAAAATGACTTTAGAAATCTCCGCTCAACGCAGAAACTCAGAAAAATGACTTCTGCCTCAAGACCGCTCGGGGGAAGTCAGAAAAATGACTTTAAAAATCCCCGCTCTCAACGCAGGAAGTTAGAAAAATAACTTCTACCTCAAGCCGCTCAGGGGAAGTCCAAAAAAGGGCTTCAGAAATCTCCGTTCAACTAAGGAAGTTCGAAAAAGAACTCTTATCAGTCAACTACTGAACAGGTTCAGCTTTGTCAGGTTCCAATGCCTTTTCATTATAAAAATAAATTATAAAATATTGAAGCGTTTACTTTATTTTATTTAAAAGCATATTTTTTGGAGTGAAAATCTCTTGCACACGAAAAAGTGTCAAAGAGAACTCTTAGCATTTTCTGTTCAGTTTAGGGAACAGATCCAAAGACAACTGTTAGAGTTTGCCGCTCGGTACAGAGAGCACTGAAGACTTAAAACATCGAAGATAGACTCCCTAAATACAAGGGTGAGCAACCTCTTTTAAAGCTCATAATAATCCCTACGCACCTCTTTCGAATAAAAGAGCTTGTTTGGGCTTGGGGGCTTACGTACTATATGAAATATACCGATCGAAGTTAATGATCATTCATGGGCAATTATCAGGTATTAATAGGTCAGATTACCTTACGCTTTACAAATATACGGTATTAATTATTGATTATTGGGTTTGATTCCCTAAAAATATACTCATAACTAATCAATGAACTTGACTGCCTCACATCTATAAATAATACATTCATCCTTTTCTATCTTAATAAAATATAAACTTCTTTATGAAACATATCTGACTTGAGCGTTGAAGTGTCTTCTGTCTGTCAACAACCCATTGGAGTGGATCGCATTCTCGGAGAGGATTAAAGATTAAAAGAGAACATAACAAAAAAGGACGACCAACCTTAGACCAATTCATTTTAAGGAGTTTAACATGTAAGAAGTGGATCTAAAGAACTCGACCTAAAAAAAATCGACATGGTCTAAAAAATCGACCTATAAAACTTAACTTGTAAAATATAGGCATGGAGAGTTTGATATGTAAGAGCTCGATAAAAAAAAGTCAGTCTGAAAAACTCTACTTGTAAAAGGTCGACTAAACGAATATACGGTACAAGTAATAAGTTGAAAATATGTGATTTCTAATAAGTTGAATGCGTATCTTCTTAAAATCCCTTAAAAAGAGAGATAGGCTGGAAGTGAGAGTTGAGACATGACATTAATTAAGGTTGAAGTTTTGCAAATTTCAATTTCATACCTGTAATTGCCTTAATAAGTTTTTATGATTTGTAAACACGACGAGGCTTTTGTACAGAATCAGAACAAAGGAATTTGACAGCATGAACGAACCCATGCGCGTGGGCTTTCTTCTTGTACTTAAGTTTTTATTCTTTTTTCTGTGAATATTAATGAAATGTTATTTATTTTATAACATCCTCTGCAGATTCCTTTTCCGATTGATGAAAACATTGAAAAGTCTAGTCGTGTATCAGATTTCAGACATTCATCGAGCTGAATTTTCAATTGTTGCCCCCGAGACATACTTGCTTGCAATGCATCATTACATTCTCCCTAATTGTTAGAATTAATTATTCTCCACTACTTTTTATAGGTGTTATTAAAATTATTTTAAATTTTTTTGTTAAATTTATTGTATTATCTATTATCATTATACTATTGGATTATTTATTATTGATATAAAAATAAGAGATGAAAATTGTGCA